AGTATACAATTTTCAGAAAGTTAACCTCAATTCGACATATGGATGGACAAACAGAATTTACGCTCTACGGACTATATGAAGCGGACCGATTTCGATTTTGCGAACTATTTTTAGATATATAAAAACGCTCAACGCTCCAAGCAGAAGGACAAAATTAACTTATTGTCAACTTCTTCAGTTGATAGATATGAAATTTTTATATGTATGTATAAAGTTTATATATAAAAAAAAACATATATGCAAGTTATCAGAAAAAAAAAAATAAATAAACAAAACTATATATCTAAAATAAAATTTGTACACAAACTCTTATATAAAAGTTGTATATAAAAAAAGTTAATATATAAAAACATACATACATAACTTATTTATGAAAACCTTTGTATTAAAATTTGTATGTAAAAAATTCATATACAAAAATTTATCTATCTGCGTAGTCGAATAACAATTCAATAGTCGCGGATTCAAATCACAAGTGCGGTTGAGTTTGCATTGAAACCGACAGCCGTGGATGCTATTGCTTTAACACTTCATTTCTCTGGTTCAATTAATTATAATAATAATAATAATGTACATAAAAATGTACATAACAAATAAAAACATTAGTCCGCGTCAAGTCCCATCATCCCAGTTTAAGCGCGCAGCTTGTTTAAAATAGAAAGAACAAAGTCGCATACGTAAATTTGTGGAATTAAAGCAATTGTGAACTGTTTGAGTTAAATATTGCATTTATATGATCGAAGTTACCATTGAAAAATCTAAAAACGGAACTAAGCAAGCAGTTTTTTTTTTTGACGTTTTATACAACAAAAGAAATTTTCGATTGACATTAAGTGAAATTTTTTTAATTTTTTCCAATTTCTTGTTACAAGAGAAAAAATTGAAAGCACGTAAATATGTGTTCGAAAACCGATAATAAAGGGACAGAAATACCAGAAAGATTATATGATTCGTCGGCCGGCAAAACCTATAAACGCATGAGATTTTTCGGCATAGATGGATTTGCAAAATGTTATGAAATTGTAGATGTGGCGACAAATGAAGTGTACGCTGGTAAAATTGTTTCAAAGAAGCTCTTAATGAAACATAATCAAAAAGAGAACATGACCCAGGCAATTACCATACACAGATCTATAAGTCATCCTAACATTGTTAAATGTCATGGTTCCTTCGAAGACAATCACAACATTTATATCGTTTTGGAATTGTGCAAAAAAGGATCGATGATGGAATTATACAAACGTCGGAAAACCATAACTGAATCTGAATGTCGTTATTATATATATCAAATTATTCAGGGTGTTAAATACTTGCATGAGAACCGTATAATACATCGCGATTTGAAATTAAGTAATCTGTTCCTAAACGACATGCTCCACGTGAAGATTGGTGATTTTGGTTTGGCCACGCGCATTGAGTATGAGGGCGAACGGAAGAAAACTTTATGCGGTACCCCAAATTATATAGCACCGGAAATTCTAACTAAAAAGGGACACTCGTATGAAGTGGATATCTGGTCTATCGGTTGCATTATGTACACCCTATTAGTGGGTCAACGTCCGTTTGAAACTAAAACGCTTAGAGATACCTGCTCGAAAATTAAAAAATGTGATTACCAAGTACCCAGTTATCTATGTAAATCAGCTGCCGACATGGTAGTGTCAATGCTGCGATCAAATCCCAGCCATCGGCCTACAATTGACCAGTTACTACATTCAGAATTTTTAACTATTTCGTCGATTCCAATATATTTGCCTACTTCATGTCTAACTATGTCTCCACGTCTCGAAATTCAGGACACTTTAGAACATAAGGTGGCCAATCAAAGAAAGCCTCTAACTGAACTTAACGGTGCACGATACGATGATGCATGTTCGGAGGTGACTTTTCTTAAAAACAATTTGCACGATACCATCACTGCATCGGCGCATGTTTATCAGCATAATTGCGATTATCGCAATGACATAGAAAGCTTGTATCAACAATTAACAAAGCTTATTGAAGCCAAACCTCGCATGTTAGCCGGAAATTTAGGTGATGAGAAGAATACGGACCCTGCTGCTCAGCCATTGTTTTGGATATCAAAATGGGTGGATTACAGCGACAAATACGGTTTTGGCTATCAATTATGCGACGAGGGCATAGGTGTTATCTTCAATGATACAACCAAGCTAATTCTATTGCCGAATAATATTAATGTCCACTTTATCGATAAGGATGGCAAAGAAACTTATATGACCAACGCAGACTATTGCAAATGTTTCGAAAAGAAAATGAAATTATTGTCGTACTTTAAACGTTACATGACAGAACGTTTAGCGAAGGCTGGAGCAAATAATGTTAATCTTGAAACTGATCAAATATCGCGTATGCCACATTTACATTTATGGTTTCGTACCACTTGTGCGGTAGTCATGCATTTAACTAATGGCACAGTACAGTTAAACTTTTCAGATCATATGAAAATTATTTTATGTCCACGTATGCGTGCTGTCACTTACATGGATCAAGCAAACAATTTTCGTACATATCGGTTCTCAACCATGATGCATCACGGCTGGTCTAAGGATTTGTATCAGAAAATTCGCTACGCTCAGGAGAAACTAAAGAAAATGTTGGAAAAGATGTTTTTCTAAACGTATTGCGAGTTCTTTCAACAAATATCAAGCTCTATTTTTTCGCATTGAAATCCTATCGCCTTACTTTCATTCTACGTTATTCTCCGCATGCGAAATGCGAATTATGTGAAAATTTATACGCTTTTTATAATTTTTTCATATTTTATTCACAATTACATTATTATTATTATTATTATTAATATTGTTAATATTATTATTATTCACGTTTTCTAACATTTTAATATTTCTTTATTTATGCGTGCAAATAAATAAATCACATAGCTACAATCATAATAATAACAATATCCTCGCATATCCGCCATTTCTAATTATTTCTTACGGCCTTGTTTTGTTTGCAAGCATACCTCACTCAGCTGTTTGTTTGAAGTTTGAAAATAAATATGAAAAATAAATAAATATAAACACCCTACTTTAGTGCCCTTAATACTGATATTGAACATAGCGTATCTTCAAAATAGCGATTCATATGGGAAACGGTAGAAGAGATAGTCGGATCCGAACCATTTTTCGAAGCACTCGGCGTTGTGGCAAACACATCGGTATACCATCTCACAAATTGCGACTTGAGGCTTTAACACAAGAATATTTGATGGGTGGATGGACAGTCATACAAGCTTAGACCTGACTCTTAGCTCGGCTTAGAATATGACTCTGAACCAATCGGCCCAATAAATTATGTGGTTCTACCTCAATCATCGGTACGAGCTTAACGTGCCCTTGCACCACAAGTCGCGTAGATTATAAAAATCTGTATATGTCACATATAAATTTCTATATGGGGAGATTTATATTAAAACATTTTTTTTTTTTTTTTTTTTTTTTTGTATATATATTTAAAACATATTTTTTTAAAGATATTTACACTCATGGGCTGGTTTTGGCTTAATTTGATTTCAAAAATTTTTTTTCAGATGCTTTGGCTCAACCGTACCGTCAAACGCAGCGATGTTCAACGCGTTTAGAAAACGCCCTCGAGCATATGCGCCGCCGTAGTTTCCAAAAGAAAACGAATCGGTCTTATGAAACGGCACAAACGCCCTATAGCCTATACCATGAACTGTATAGCCAGCGGGAAGATATTAACACGAATTTTTATGATTCGCGAAACGAACGGCAATATTCCGACGATAATCAAAGACCCAATAGTCATTTAGATTTTATTAGCCCTTACTCGAGCTCTAATTACGCTCAACATCATTATCCTCAAATTAACTTAATTGATCGAAGGATTCCGCACAAATTAATCATAAAAGACGTTGATGTAGAAGATTTGAAAGTGAGATTGCCAGCGACGTCAACGAATACGGCAACGCATTGGGTGCAAGTTGATAAATGTAAATTTAGTTCAAAAAATTCTACCTTAGATACCAGATTGACATTTCCCGATTTGATGTTAAGCGGCAAAGTGATTTTACAGCCGTCTGGCGGTAAATGTAATATGATTTTACGTTTACGTCACGCAGGTATAGAATTTCGTACAGTACCTATAGGTTACGAAAAGGTCGGTAATGAAGAAACAAACCGCCTAAGTGGAGCTTCCGTAAGAACCGATTCGCATTTTACCGAACCCGGTTTCATATCGGTATTCGCTCACGGCTGCCAAGGTGAATTGCTAATTAATATATTTAAGGAAATATTTCAATTCCAAAATTTGATATTTCTCGTCCCGCCGTCCCTTTCTCACCTTCCTCACAGGTCCTACAGGTATAAAAATCAGGCGAAATTCAAGACGACATTTCGTTTCAAACGAGGATAAATTATCGACACCTTGGCCGCTACCGTCGGAATCTGCGGATTTTCTCTATGATATACGAAATCAAAGAAATAAAGCCACGTTTATGCGTAATATGAATGAAAATGGTTCCGAGAATTTATCAAAGGACGCAAATAATTTTAATGAATTTTATAATTTCGATCAAAATGATTCGCAGTACCGAAGAGCAAGGCGACAGAAGAAGTTGTTGGAGCCATTACGAGATGAAATTAATTTTGATGATGATGTTCTCAACGTTTCAGATGAGAAACTTCAGGATCTGGTGCAACCAGATGCTCGAGCCTTTGCTGTTGAGTTACTCAGTCGGCAAGATGTGGTGAATGATGTGAACGAGGCTCTTTCGAATGAATTGGAAAAATTATTCTCGTTGGGTGTACGAGGCCTATTAACTACATATATGCAAAAAGCCTTGCAACCTGCCATTAAGGAGACATTAATGGAGAACATGGGCTACACACTCAGTTATGGTTAAAATATTTTTGCAAATACTTTTAACAATTATTCACTTTCACTTGGTTCAAATAAAAATTAAACATTAAAAAAAAAAAAAACTAAAGCAAAAAAACTTCTAACTTATAAGTCATTACCATGGTCTGTTGAAGGTATCAAAGGATAAAGAAAATCGCTTCACTCCTTCATAGCTTTATTTTTATGATTTAAAAAAAAATTTTTTTTCTTTTTTTTTCTTTTGTTACACAATACAATTCTATACAATTTCGCACATTTTTTTGAATACCGTTACATTCAAACGGCGCGACGTTACTAACGCTGGATGCCTATCGAGATACGTTTTTGACATTGCACAAAAATACCTTTAAAGGATAAGGGGCGTATCTTATTGAACAAAAAAAAAAATAAAAAAAAAAAAACTTGCAAACTGCGCATGATAGCTGCAAGCTTAGCCAAACATCTCATTGGTTCTCTAAGGCATCCTTACACATTTACATGTTACGGTATATGCATAATATCCTTGTATCTTTTATCTGTTTATATGCTTGAAAGTGGCTGTCTGCGGTTTGTCTTCATCACTTTTCATCCATTTATTTAAAAGTTTTTAATACGCAAGCTATGACAAACTTTTTATTAAATATCTTATATCATATATATGATATGATATTTTTATTGACTATTATATATAGAATTTAACTGCGGATTTTACAAGGTCAATCGAACTGCCTTCATGTCCGTTTCCGTTACATTTAATAAATGCAATTTAGGTTTTTGAATACAAATCACATTTCTACGTACATGCAGACGCATTTTTATAAAGGAAAAATATTTTATATATAAACCTTGTGCCTTGTGCAACTTGCATATCAAAATATGAGAAAAGATTTATTTTATATTAAGTGAGTGACAGTCGCTCGTCAATTTGTCCTAAAAAATATTCCGAACAATATGGCGAGATTGTCATTTCATCGACCCAGTGCAACAAAGGTGCGATATTTATTTTAGTTCCGGTGCTTTTATGACTTTTTGACGCTTATATATATATAGCGTGAATTTTATAAATCGTTTAACAAAATTTTCAAATTTTTGCAACACATTCGCAACTCATTATTAACACATATAAATTTGCCTTGACCTTGATCAAAGTTTGAAAATGAAAAATTCGTGTATTCTTAAGGGACGAGAGAAACTACCATAAAATTTTTAGAAAATCGTCTTTTTTTTTTTACTTAAATGAACCCTAACTTAGATGAATCTATTGTCCAGGCTGATAACATATTGTTACGGAAATCCCAAATCTAGTTCATTCCCGCTAAGTCATTTTCCCAAATAATAAATTCCTTAAAGAGAAAAGAAACCAAATGACCTGCAGCTGCAGGCTAATGGCAACGGACAGGTAAAAACCAAGTGCACATTCGCAGGCGGGTTATGCAGCTGCAAGCCGATGAAAACGGTTACCAGAAAACCAAGTTAACGAATTAAAAACCAAGCTATAATATTAGGTACTAGTAATAGGATGTTAAAAATGTATACAAATAGAATATTTGTGATAGGCAGAATGAGTAGAAAAAGAATATTCGAATTAATCAGTCGAAAATATTGCCAAAAAAAAAAAAAACAATTTCTGAATAATCCTATATTTAAAGATATATAATTGTAAATAAAAGAATTTTGAAGTGTATTTTTCTTGAACAAAATATCCACGATCCAGTGATACGGACACTGTATCCTACTACAAAAGCAAATTTTATAACAATATAATAATTTGAGGTTTGTAGAAAAAATTGATTTTCGGAACATGATTAGGTGCCAGTGTACGTTTCGCTGGAAAGACAGTTTTCCGAAGCCACAAGCTCGAACAATTTTCACTCTTTTTATTTGCATTTTCAGCCATATTTTCAAAACAAAATTTGAAAGAAAAGTTCGATGGGGACTTCCAATAAGTTATCTTAAACCTTATTGATTGTAAAAGGAGTAAGAAAGTAATATTCGGCGGGAGTCGAATCTCACTTTCCCACCACTATGTTTTTCGCATTCTCCTCACCAAGTTCTTTTATTTGATACCCATATCGCTAGTAATATTAGGAAGAAAGTGATCGCGGTGTCTACAATATTCATATTAAAATTAACCCATTTTTAGGCAGATAATATATATATTCACTTAAGGAGTATAGAAAACAGTTTTAAACATTTGGTCTTGCTTGTTTTGTGATAAATAGGCATAAAACCTCCCAAAATTGAAAAAATAATTTAGTTACCCGTAACTTTGTGTGGGCATGGCCGATTGGTTAAATTTTTGGGCTTAATGAGTAGATTGTTTCGTAAACTAAAAGTGGAAAATTTTAGGGTTTTACCTTTAATAATTTCCGAGTAATGACCAAAAATGCAAAATTTTTTGTTAGAAAAAACTGAGTTGCGTTCAGCTTACGTGCTTTTCTTCTGACCAATTTGGCTCATTTTCAATACCAACCTGCGTGCCGCAACTTCCAACGTTTCTACCAAATTTGAAGTCGATGCCTTCATTATCTGCGACCAGTATAGTGTCAACAACACACACCACATAGGCAAACAGACGGACAGACATGGCTATATCAACTCAGAATTCCACGCTATTTTAAATGGTTGTGGTACAGGGTATATTAAATTTGTGCGGATGTATGTATCACCCAGAAGGGCTTTATATAGACCTACTTTTTGTTATACTGATCCATTCAAAATCATTTCCAGAATCGATCTAAGCTTGTCCCTCCGTCTGTCCATGTACATTTGTGTTCAAAGCCGAATGCTATTAAAAATGGTTGAAATCGGACCACTTTGCCGACGGTTCTTCCTATCCCGCCGTGGATTTTCAAACTAAGACGTTATATGGGAAAAAATTTTAATTTTCAAAATTGATATGAAAAATTTGATTCGGCAGAGTCAATTTTTAGAACCCGCTCTCATGCCACCGCTCCTACGAAAAGTGAATCTTCAATATTTCATGGAGAAAACCTGGACCATGTACGTTTATTTTATGAATTCTTGTTTTTTTATAATGAAAAGTTGTTTGTTGCAATTGAACCACCTGAGTCTATTTCTTGCACCCCACTCCATATAAGATTTCTCATAAATGGTAAGTTCTTCAGGAGAATTTAATATTTACGATGAAAATTTATCCGTAGTATCAAATTAAACAAAAAAACAAATCCCAGTAGGAAGTTTGCATCACATAGGTTTATATTTTAGACCCTAACATATGTAAGGGTCATCGTGAAATGTAATCTCTAATATGGTGAAAAACTATAATTTCTATTTATTTATAGGGAAAACTGGAGAATAATAAAGAAGAAAAAATAAATTAGATTTGTTAAATTTTTATCACATCACATGTCGTTTTAGGGATCCTCCAGTTTGCGGGCTTTCTTTGCACGACAATGATGCGTAAATTTTGATACGTTTAAAATGAGCGAATAATTGTATTAGGCGAATTGGTGTAGGGTATTTAACGGCCAGTCTTGCCCGATTAAAATGATCTTAACTAAATTTTTAGAAATAATCTACCTAAACAAATGATTAATAACTTTCTTGAACGTTACTGTTCCTCTACCTTATCCTCTATCTAAAAAAATACTTCACGTTTTTAGGAATTAACGGCCATGCCATACCATAACCTCAGATAAAAAATAAAGAGGATGGTTACAGATTTTAGATGCTCCTGCCAGGCATTAATGTTCTCTTATGAAGGCTTTTTCTTTCTTGGGAAGGGTTTATCATACTTGCGAAGGGAAGACCTTTTAATTTTTGTTTTTTCCTTTTACAAATGACTTCCAATTTATAAAAAATTTTAGAAATTCGTGAGCTTTAACTTCATTCAAACTACACCCTGTTAAAGCTATACCTCCACATAACAGTACAGTTTTCCATTAGAAATTGAGAATGTGATAGCAAGCAATTATTTTTATTAATGAGATGGGAGATGGGAGAATGAAAGAAAGGTACTTACCAGCAAGGACACGATTGCATTGTATTCATTTTTCGCAATACCGCTTAGCACTTATAGTAATACAAGCTTCTATCATTGAGAGGGTTCGAAATTTATTCGATTAGTTCCGTGCGTAGATCGTGGATCCACCAGTAATAAACGCCCTCCGTTAAAGGGCCGCATTTGATTTATACGTTTTAAATATCCAAAGGTTTACGAACGTTGTGTATCGCTCCCAAAGATTAATTGCCTTATTGCGAGTATTGATTAGATATATGTCGGGATTTTTGAACACAACCGCAAACGAAATTATGTAAACTTGGTACATCATTGAAAGTGATATTTGTAATTTTTAAATCGCCAGCAGAAGCTATTATTTGATAATCTGTAAAATTTCAGTACATCTAAGCAGGTATATCTGTCCGTTGGCAAGCTGTAAAAAAGTTAAAATAATCATAAGATGAGCACGATCGAGTTGCTCACGAGACACACAAAATAATATAAAAAAAAAAAAATCTTAGAAAACAAAACATCTATGTATGTATGTGTATTTGCTCTTTCACCTTAAAGTTCACATTATACAAGGGCAAGTTCTTAGAACGGATTCTTCTAGGATTTCACTAAGATTTTATTGCTAATAAAGATAACATCTGGTAACAATCAAAAAAAACAAACCTTTAAATTTCTATCAAAATGCAACTCTTCATTTCCGGATAATATAACAGCTGTCGCAAAAAAAATGTATACAAAACTCAGTGACTCTGTCATATCGTTAATCATATGTTTCGCTGTCAGACTGAGAATAAAAATTTTTTCCGTGTTTTTCTTGTTATTTATTATATACACGTAAATGCTTTCATGGATTCTGAATAAAAATTAAAATGATAGATTAAAAATTAAAAAAAGTATGTGCTAAGTAAGTGAATGAATGTATCGATCGATGACTAATATTTTAATGTTTGTTCTCAAAGAATTTGCGTTGTTTGCAAATATTTGTTCAATACAAACATTGTAACAAAATGTTTACGCACGTAATTAAATGCAAGTCCCAAGTGTCAAGAGAGGCTATCATTATGTCTCATATATATACAATGACACCGATAATTATATAATGAAGAACTATGTGCTGATGAGAGTTAAGAAGTTAAAGATTTCGAAATATTTGCATAAAGCAAAAATATCAGATGTGTACATATATGTAAATATATACAAAATAAACAAAGTCCAGTTCTTGCATTACTTCGTGAAGTTCAGATACTGGCTCTCATATATATATATATATATATATGTTTACTAAAGTGTCAAATGTTTATATGTACAGTTGTTTTTATTTATTAATTTGTTTTTTGTATATATTTTTATTGCAGCCTTCATCAAGTAAACAACAGACATCCATTTGTAAATTATTTCTGTACGCGTATATATGTAAATTTTTCCACCTCGACACCCTAATAATAATACTTGAATCACTTATGAACCCCTGACCTTTCTAAGCTAGTGTTTTCGAACTGGTAAGGCAAAGTGTGCGTGGGTGTATGCCATGAATCGTGCCGCCATTTCAGTAGCGTCCGGCGTGACTAGTGGCTCGGGTAACACGCTGGATGCTCCCTACATACGTACAATTGAGTGGGATATGATGGATAAAGCAAAATTCTTTCCTCTCTCAATGTTAAGCTCATTTTCCGTACGCTGTTGTCTATTTCCATTGACCGTAATAAAAACTCAATTACAAGTGCAGTACAAAAGTGATGTTTACAAAGGCATGTTTGATTGTGCGTATAAAATTTACCGTTCCGAAGGCATTCCGGGCTTATACCGTGGTTTCTGGATATCATCGGTGCAAATTGTCTCGGGAGTATTTTACATTAGCACCTATGAAGGTGTGAGGCATATATTAAGTGATATAGGTGCAGGGCACCGCGTTAAAGCTTTGATAGCGGGAGGCTGTGCTAGTTTGGTGGGTCAAACTATAATAGTTCCTTTTGATGTGATTTCACAACATGCTATGGTATTGGGAATGGCCGTACATGCCGGCACAAAAAGCGATCTCAATCCATTAGGCATAAAAACAGGACCCGGTCGAAGTCGACTTAACATTTCCATAGACATAGCAAAAGAGATAATGCAACGCGATGGATTTCGGGGTTTTTACAGAGGATACACCGCCAGTTTGATGGCCTACGTACCAAATTCTGCCATGTGGTGGGCTTTCTATCACTTATATCAAGGTATCTCTTGATAAGCTTAACGAGATGAAAACATTGTCTAGCTTAGATTCTTATGATTTTAGATGAACTTTGTCGTATATGCCCACCTTGGGTATCACACCTGCTCATACAATGTGTTGCCGGCAGTTTAGGTGGCTTCACTACAACTATTCTTACAAATCCTTTGGATATTGTAAGAGCCCGATTACAGGTATTTCTAACTAATAACATATATATATATATATTTATTTTGAATAAATAATTTTAACCACTAATCTACTATAGGTACAACGTCTCGAAAGTATGCGTGTAGCTTTCCAAGAACTTTGGCGTGAGGAGAAATTGAATTGTTTCTTTAAAGGCTTATCAGCACGTTTAGTGCAATCGGCAGCCTTCTCATTTAGCATAATTTTAGGTTACGAAACTATTAAGCGTATATCTGTGGATGAACGTTATAAACACCAAATCCGTTGGTAAATATTTACAATAATTTTTACCCCACCGTCGGCCATTTAATTAACTATTTATAAAGCCCTGATTTTGCACAAATCCTTAGTAAAATAAATCGGCGAAATTATTAACAAATATATGCATTTACAAACAAAACAAAACGTTACAATAACAGAAATAATACCACTGTAGAGAGATGATACAGTGATAGACGTGAATTATTTCTAAAATAATTTTAAGATCTCGAAAGAGCAAAAGCAAAGAAAAGAATTGCAACAGCGTTTATATCTAAAAAAAGCTTATTTAAACGAAAAAAAAAAAATGGAAAGTCATATTCATCCTAAGGTCCACTTATCTTTTTTGACTCAATGCAGTAATTTCATACATTTTATAAAACTAATAAAGCACAATATAATAAATATTATATATGTAAATATATATTATATGTATTATATTATAAACTATGAATATGTCAACACAAATTTTCATATCCATTATTGAGAAGATGGCGGCATATTAATTTTAACATTTCGTTCGTAGCATCCAAAAGCAGACATCAATAGGCCAATGTAATGAACACCACCACATTAGCGTAACCGCATGGCCGACGGACGGGCTAAGTAGACTAGTGTGTCTTATTCGTTTAACAAGATAGATATGTATTAACGAGAAATACACGTGCGCAAAGTGAAATATTCCCAATATTAAAACCAAATCAGATGCAATCGAAATCAATTGAAAATTTAAAAGTATTTGATCAGAAAAATTCAAACATTAGAAAAAAAACGTTTTTTTTTTTCTTCTTGTCTCATGGACTTTATGCAACACAGATGAAATCTTAGCATCCATTTGCTTCGCAATAAATCTTACCTAATAATTGTCATTAGCATCTGAAAAAAATGTACAAACAAGTCTCGAAAACCATACCAAAAAATCTCGCTACACGCTACACGTAAATGAATAGAAATTTGACTTTCTGGAAATGTTGGCGTCGCAAGTCAAAATTGTCATTGTTGCTCCCGTTTTCATGAGATGATGAAATTGATCTTCGATGATGTCTATTTTTCGGATGTTATCTATGATTTAGTTTGATTAGTATTTCCTTCATACTCTCATGGTGGCCACATAGTAATATGTAGAGGGTTAAATCTAGACTAAAAAGCAAAAGTCTAAGAAATACTATATTTTAATAAGAATTTGAAAGTTTATAACTGAATTTGTCAATATACAACAACAAAAAAGAAAGAAAAATGAAAAAAAAAAAAACTAATAACTAAAAATTTTAATTTCTTATTGCTTTATCTACAGCTCCACTAATCATGTTTTATTTTTATAATTTACACCACTTAACATAAGCCGCAATTAGAGCAATATTTTCCAATGTCTCCTTTATAACGAGATTGTTTTCTCTTTTAATTCAATGTAATGAATTAAATTTTTGTTTAGTAGTTAAATAAATTGTATAAATGTGTTGTTATGTAACGTCTTAAGTCAATACTTATTATTATTCTATTCTATGTAATTTATTTGTATGTTTAATTAGAAAAGAACCAAAAAAAAAAAAAAGAAAAGAAAAACACATTCTTTTTTCAAAAGAAACGACAATTTAAAAAAAGAAAGAAAAAACTTTCTTGAAAAGTAAATAGATGCAATAATAAAAATAATAGCAAAACAACAAAAAAATTGTAACAAAGAGTACAAAGGTAATTAAGTTATTTTCCATAGATTATTTGCTATCGTTTCTTTATAACGCTCTTGATAGCGGAGAAGAGGAGCGTTTCAGTTTAGTTTAGTATGCATCATGCAAGCCGAAACCTGCAATTACAAAAATTTTTATCTCTTGCAAATAATGCAAATAACCTCAACTTCTTTTGGTGTCATACTGATACTTTTAATTAAAGTCTAGAATTTCTATCTTCTTCTTCTTCCATTTATCTTTCTTCATTTTCAGTTAGATGTTACCGAAAAGAAGTTAATCTTAATCTCAAATTATGAAAGCAATTAACATTTGGTTTATAATTGTTTTGGGGAAGAATAAATCATCATTTTTTTTTAATTCCGTTTCATACTTTTCGTGTAAAGGAAAAAGCAATTAATGTTTCTAAATCACATATGTTTTCTAATCGAAGTTACATTCGCTCAGTTTCGATCCAGCGATTAAAGCGAAATTCGCTCTTAACTAAATATTTAAAAATTAAAATTTTTTTTTTCTTCTTAATACATTGAACTAACTCTGCTCTTTAATAAAAGAAAAAAAAAAAAAAATAATGCCATTTAGATATTTTGAGAACAGAGTTTTTATTTACTTTGGTTCGTGTGGCTTTTTGTAACGTCCAGCCTTCGTTTAAACTGAAGTTATCACTAATTGGATATTTCGAGAAGAAATATATTCTTTTTTTTTTTCAAACGAATTAAGATCATTTTTAGTTGCTTTTAATTGTCAGTTAAAGCGTTAGTTATGATATATTAAATAACTAAATTAATAATGTAATATGAGCAGAACCTATCCACTTCTAAGTATAACCCGTATTCTAACATCTGCAGTGATTTTCCGTCACCCATGACAAGTGCCGCCTAAGTCCAATACTTTTTGCCAATTTAGGTAAAATTTAAAAAAAAAAAATAATTAATTTAACGTAAACGTACAATTTTTTTCTTAAAGGTTTCCCAATGCCTATTGCAATAGGAAACATCACGTTGCATGCACACGCAAAGTGGTTCCCATTACAAACGGAAGTCAAATACGACTGTGGTGCGAGCATTCACGAGGGTGGCATAAAAAGCCGATATCGGAATTTTTAATGTAAATGTGCAAGCAGAGTTTTTATTTTTTAGAGGGTGCCAGTTAGTGGCATTCTCATCTTCTGATAAAGTAGGTGTTTGGAATGCAATGACACAGCACGCATTAGATAATATATCGATTCGTCTCGTGACCAATCACATCGACCATGTGATTTTTATATTTATTTACGTATCTCAAATTAAATAAATTATAAGTTTTTTTGCTCATCAACCTCAATTTAGCCTTAATCGAACCATTTTTCAACCGCCATCTTTAGATACCATCCGCCAGCCTTCACTCTTGTACGCATGAACGATTAATGAAATAAAAGTTTTGAACAATTCTGAAAACTTATTTTGACTGAGCGATGATAATAATGATGAAAATACGAGGAATTTCTGTCAAACTTTTTATATTTTCTTTCAATATTTTTAAACTTAAAAATTTTTTTTTACAACTATTCACTTCGTACAACTTCTTTGAGTACTTGTAAAATGGCTTTGATACATTTCGCAGCACCTGTAGATCTCAAATACTGTCGACATTTTACGAAGTTCGTCCAACACTGCAACGAAACACAACCGATCTATCAACGAATACGTCCACAACGTCCGGCCAAAATAACTGCAACAGTCGAGACAACATATTCACCAAGGAGTGGAGATAGATAAATATTTTTTTAGCACCGGTTAAAAGGTTAGCAAAAAGCGGTTCAATCAGCTTCCGCACCTTTATACGGGTAAACAACATGACTTATTTGACTCGTGAATTATACATAACGACATAGGGATGAGAATTATATTAAATATTATTTTCAAAAACTAACTGATATAAAATGTTTTCCCCTTTATTGCTGCTGATATTATTGACGACACAAAGGAAAAGTTGGACCTTCAAAAGTATGTTTGGAAAAAAAATTGAAGAGAACACTAATGAAAAAAACCAATTGTACTATCACTCACACTACTCTCGCAAAATCAAGATTAAAACATTGGAAGAAAAAATTCGCGTCGACCTTTTTTTCCATTAAATGCGCTAAAATGATTGACAAAATTTATTAAGTTAATCGAAGCATCAATGTTCAATTTCACATTCCGTAGTATATTACGAAACGTTATTAATTAGGTGCTTGCTAAAAAGCTACCGAACATAAATCTTGGAGATGATTGAATAAAATTATATTTTATTCACGAATTCATCTGCCCAAAATCAATTCTGCGTTTGTTGGCGTAATATTTCTTTTTGGTTTAGTTCATTTTTGTTGGTTGCTTAATACAGTTAAATAAATCACTGCACTTCCCTAATGTCTAAACAAACCGACTTCAAAATGAATTAAATTTACAAAATGAGAAGAATGTTCAGCAATTTCTTGCGTGTTTTTACAAAATTATAGCTGCCACTATATACATATATATATAAATTATCAAATGTTTGGATTAAAACGATTCGAGAACTTGCATTATGAACAAAAATAAAATGGTAAAACAGTAATTCCTGTATTACCATTGTTTGAAAAAAGCTTTTGTATAGAAAAAAATTGCACAGAAAAATTTTATTTAATATTTTAAAACACCAAAAAGAATCACCGTAACGTTCATTCATAAAAAAAAAAAAGAAGAATAAAATAATGTGTAAAAAACTTTACAGTTATTTGTTTTTCTAGTTTAACATTTTGCGTATCATATAATTCAAAATGCCACCATTTTTATAATAAGTAATATCGACTTCAGTATCGAAGCGTAAAATGGTGTCAAAAACATTGCAATCGGCCTTAAATAAAAAAAAAACGAGTGAAATTACTCATAGACATAGAAATACGAAGAAGAAAATTATATTTCTTACCTCTACTTGTATATGTTGGCCGGGCTTTAATCCTTGTTCTGGAATGTTGATGTTATACACTTCGCGACCGCTAAGACCTAATGATTCGGCATTTTGTCCTGGTAAAAATTGCAATGGTATGATTCCCATGCCCACCAAATTGGACCGATGAATACGTTCATAGGATTCAGCGATAACCGCTTTTATGCCCAGCAGAAAGGGTCCTTTTGCAGCCCAGTCACGACTCGAACCACTACCGTAATCTTTGCCGACCAACAAAATCAATGGAGTGCCTTCCTCACGATATCTGTTTTAATAAAAATATCAAAGGAGTTTCAAATAATTTCTTTTCTTTTTTTGCACTTTTTTGAAAAAGTATAACTGACCGTTCGGCACAATCAAAAATATCCATTTCCTCTTGACTGGGAATATGAGTAGTTCGTGGTCCGGTTTTTGTAAGCAATTTATTCACTAAACGTATATTTGCGAAAGTACCGCGAGCCATAACCGCATCGTTACCACGTCTAGAGCCGTAAGAATTAAAGTCTTTAGGAGTTAAACCATTCTCGGATAAATAACGAGCAGCCGGAGAATTGCGTGCTATCGATCCAGCTGGGGATATATGATCAGTGGTGACAGAATCACCCAAATATAAAAGACAGCGAGCATTTCTTATGCTCCTTAGAGGAGGTAGCATAAGTGCCATGCCCTCAAAGAATGGTGGGCGTTTAATGTAAGTTGAAACGCCACTCCAAGGATACAATTTACTTTCGGAGACATGCAAAGTTTGCCATTCCTTAGAGCCCAATTCGATTTTGCCTTAAAAAAAAAAAAAAAAAAAAAAAAATTAAAAAAAATAAAAAAGTTTGCAATTTTTTTTGGCTCATCAAACTGATCATTTTTCTTACTGTATACTTCCTGGAACATAGCTGGTATTACGTGTTTATTTTCGACTTCTTGTATTTCATTACGAGTCGGCCAAATGTCACGTAAAAATACTTTCTTTCCATCGTTATCGATGCCTAAAGCTTCTGTTTCAAAATCAATATCAACACGACCGGCAATAGCGTAAGCAATTACAAGCAAAGGACTGGCCAAATAATTTGCTCGGGTATTCGGATGAATTCGTCCTTCAAAGTTCCTATTGCCGGAGAGGACTCCACAACAAATCAAACCATTCTTCTCTATGGTATTCACTACATTCTCATCTAATGGGCCGGAATTGCCGATACAAGTCATGCAACCATAACCGACAATGTTGAAACCCAACTTCTCTAAATAAGGAATAACTCCGGATTCCTTAAGATAATATGTGACGACACCCGAGCCGGGAGAAAGAGATGTCTTTATATAAGGCATGATACTCAGTCCTCTCTCAACTGCTTTTTTAGCTAAAAGACCAGCACCCAACATAACTGAAGGGTTAGAAGTGTTTGTGCAGCTGGTAATAGCAGCGATGACAACTGAACCATGCTTAATAGTGTAACTCTTGTTATCGTCCCATTGAAATTGCCCAGAAGCATGTAAAGAATCTGGAGCTATGGCAAAACCTTTAAAACCCACCTATGGAAAAAATTTAACAGCAGCAAAAGAAGGAAGTAAATCAAATAAAACCAACGTATTTTAAATGAAGTGCGTAAGAATAATAGAAGACTTTATAAAAAGTATCGAAAATAAAAAGACACCACACAGACAAAGATTAAACAGTAATTAATAAGTATATAAATAATATTCTTAACT